ATATATATATATACATATATATTTATATAAAATATCTGTTTATATGTGCTTTGCATATAAAGTATTATAGTCTTCTTGTTTCTTAACGTTGCATTTTGAAATGCCATTGAAGCAAGATTCATTTTTCATTGCAATTTTGTAGCAAATATTTGGATAACATTAAAATTCCGAATTCATACTTTATAATATTTATATATTGCAATATAACATGTATTTTTATTTTAAATGAATAAGAGATTTTAAAACACAGATTGATATCACTAATATACAATAAAATCTTTCTTCAAAAAAAAATTAGTGTTGCGAAAGTTTAAAGAACAATTTTGTCGATTAAATTTTATTAATAACACATGTTTGATGTTTAAAATAAATATCTTTATAAATTTTACCGCAAGTACGATTGAGTGGCGAGTATGTTAACATGTTTTGTTTACGAATGATGTTATATCGAATTCATAAAACATATATAATATGACGAACACACGCATGCAACTAGATTACTTTTAATACTCATATCGATATGCAGCAGTATATCTGCGCATACTAGGACGTAATTTAAATGCATTAATCCTTTGAGTGGTAAACTATGATGTATCGTCATATCATGCGTATGCTTGGAGGGTCAACATCGATTTATCGTTATTGCTATAACATTCGAGAGATAAACAAGATAGATACTTGAATTTTAAACGAGATTTTGTTAAACTCTCATTAAACGCAAATAATTATTAACTCTTACAGGTCACAGGCACATAATTATTCATAATCGTTAATAAAATATTAATTGAAAGTATATAGAATTTTCGAAAAAAGTAATGAATTAATAATTTTGAAATGACTGATAAAAGTAAAAGTAGCGTAGTAAGTGATGATTAATAATGTACACCTGAATTTACATGATTTAATAATTCATTTATACTATTTTAGCTCAACTTCAAGCCATTTTTAGAGAAAAAAATATAGTTGTATACTAAAAATGTAGATGAATAATGTATTAATAATATCGAAATATATCTCTATGAAATATATTTCTTACACTTTTAATTATATCAACGGCTATATAACTGCATAAATAGAAATTATCTGTATGAAGTTACAAAATAAAGAATATAAACCTGTTTCATCCAAACATAGATTACATTTACATAGACACCTTTAGGCTGTATTCCAAATTTACTGCCAGCGTTGAAAATGCTATAGTTTATGTTACGTATATAAATTTTCACTATAAATTTTCAGTACAGGCAATCAATTTTGGAATATAGCCTTAATCTAGTTTAATAACGTTCATAGTTATCAAAATGGCCAATCATATCTATTCCTCTAAAGAACGGAATGATTGTGATTGGCTAGTTTCTAACTATGTTATTAAACTATGTTATAAACTCGATTAAGGTTATCTGTGTAAACGTAGTCATACATATGTGAATAAAAACTCGTAAAATTCTTTAAAAGAAATAAAAGTCATTCTCTATAAATATAAAATAACCCAAACGCTGTACATGACAGATAAAAAACTTATGAATTTTATACATGTATACAAGATGTCCAATAAAGACTGTAACGATTAAGGATTTTGATAGCATTTTGAAACGAAAATTTTAATATTAAAATATCGAGGCTATAATAATTTTTAAAAATAAGCATTTAAATTAAAGTTACCAAGAACTGTATCGCATGAAATTCGCGCACTTAGATTAATTACGATTGAATTTTCTGTTGTATCATATTTGAACACGCAAACTTTAAGCAGTATGATTTGATAACTTTCAATTATAATTAAAAAATTGCATTGATATTTTG